CTAGTCTTCCTGGAGGATGCCCGACGCCAGGCACTACCTCTGGAGCGGCCCCTCTGGGAGCCGCCTCTCCAGTCCCTGGGCGCTGCGCCCGCCTCCTCTCGTCCTGGACCTCGGGGAACCCTGAGCTGAGGTCCCCCCTGCCCCGCCTAACCCCAGCTTTTACGCTGGTCCTGAGAGAGGGGCCACTCGGCCACCATGCCCGATTTGGACATCCCCCAGGATCCCCCCAGCCCGGCCCGTAGCCCAGAGGTGCTGGGACACCGGAAAGAAGGCGCCAAGGAACGAGCGCCCCCAGAGGCGCGCCGCGGCTCCGGGCTCGGCGGGTGGGGTGGGTGTGTACTGGGGTGAGTGGTCGCCCTGCCGGCTGCCGCTCTCTTCCCCTTCCTTCCAGGACCCTTCCTTCTCACTGCTCCCCGGGCTGCGCTCGGCCGAGACTCGCTAAGCCTCCCCCAAGTCCCGCGCCTGAACCCAGCGATGTGCCCGCTCTCGCCTGGGGCTGGGGGCTTTTCCGGGCGTCCTACGGGAGGCTGCTCGCTGCTGCGCCCCTTCAAGGCTGCCGGCCAGAGGGAAGTGTCGCTTCTCGTCCCGGCTCTCGGGGGCGTCTCGCGTCTCCAGAAAAGCCCGGCCTTGCTGTCCCTTGTGTCTGCTCCTCTCTACCCCGGCGGCGCCAGGAGCCGGGGACTGCGGAGCCCCGGCGGCACCTCCCGGGGGTGACTGGACTTGCTGCTCCGCGAGTCCTTCTCTAGAGACTCCAAGCCCGCGGTGGCGGCGGCGCTGGCTGCGTTCCTCTCCCGATTGCCCGGGAGAACCCTCCTCGGGCCCCGGGCGAACTTGGGCAGCGGCCGCGCGACGCTGGCGCGGCTGGGCTCCGAGCACCTGCTCCTCCGCTCGCTGGCCCCGCGGCTCGGGGCGGGCGGGGCAGCGGCGGCGAGCGCTGTGCGCTCCTGGAGACGCGGTGCTGACGCGCCCGGCTCCTCCTCGCTGCATTTTAATTCCTGGCCACTGTGGCCGCTGCACACCGAGCGAGCGGGAAGCCTTCTTGCCGGAGTCGGCCGCGGGGGGTGCACTGCACAGATGTGCCCGGGTGTGCGGCCTCGTGGGAGAGACGTGGAGTAGTAGAAACGCTGTGTTTCTGGGGGACCGTGTGTAGATAAATGTGACAGGACGCCTGAGCGTGAGAGCGTGAGTCGCTATGTAGTGTGGGCGTTTGAGCAAGCGTGTGAGTGTGGTGTCGGGCATGGAGCGTGCGTAGGATGAGGCATCCTGCATATGTGAACGGGCAGTTCCATGGAATGTGAGCATGTTTGCGGCTGGTGTGCTGTGGCTTTTAGTGTGTGGTATGTGCAGGATAGAGTGCCTGTGAGGGCATGTATGTTCTGTGTGTGTGTGTATGCACTTAGGGGTGGAGGGTGTGAATAGGCAGGCATGCTGATGTTTGGATGGGTATCAGGGTTTCTGCATGTAGTGTGCGATTGGTGTGTTTTGCATGTGTGTATTGTGTGTGCATGTGCATGTGGTACATACATAAGCACGTGCGTTGAGGTGCTGGGAGCAGTTACTAGGCCTTTGGCAGCTTTGGCTCAGTGAGACAGCCCTCACCTCCACCCCTTAGGAACCTACCATGTGTCCCAGCCCCTTCCCTGGGAGCTCCGCTGCTGGGCTGTGGCCAGTCAGCCAGGAGGGTGGGGAGAGGAGTGTGACAACCACGGACAAGAGACTCCCTCTCTCCCATTCCTCCGTCTAGGCTCCTGCAGCCCCTTTGTCGGCTAATGATGTCACCTTCCCTCCTAGACAGGCTCAGTGTCTTCCACTAACCCCTGGCCACTTCTGTACACGTTGATTTGGCCTTTTTAGTATTCTGCTTTGACTCATTGGGGAGGATGGATAAGGGATGTAGTGCACTGCTAGCTCCCTTTCATGGGTGAGATTCAGGACGCCAAATACTTGCCCAAGGTCACACAACCTGTAAATGGTGGCGCTGGATTCAGCACCCAGTCCCCAAAGCCCTGGCTCTTTCTACTGCACTGAAGGGCTTCACAGTTTTCATTCTCTGGGTCCGGCACCTTGAATGCAGCTCTGGAGTCTTACTGGGACAGGAGCGCTATGAGCCCCATTACCTATGGGAGAGAGGAGTTTTCTAGACATTTTCCAGAATCGGCTTTGGTATAGAGAGTGTGAAGGCATCCCAGTAGAAGAAGGAAGAAGGACCTAAGTTTATCCTTTGGGAACAGGAAACTTGGAGAAGGAGAGATTTGGGCATGGAGAGGAATTTCACCCAATCTGCAGTGATATATTAGGGGCAGCTCAGCCAGGTCTGTTGAATGAGCAACAGGTTTCCAAGCAGGAGAGAAGTGGTGCTGGGGTGGGCTTTCCCTCCCCACTGACCTGGATGGCATCCCTTCAGGGTGGCAACTCCCTGCATTCAGTCTCCGGGGAAGAGGACCTCTGAGTCCCTCCTCTCCCACTTACCCATACACACACATCCACACGGTCACAAACATATAAGCACACATAAACACACACACTCACTCACATAGTACATACACATTACACGTAACACACAGGTACACAACACACATCACACACATACACACAAACATACTCGGAATAGGTACACATTACATCCATACATAGAACATACACCACATATACATACTCAAACACACATGTGCACACAACACAGACACAAACACACAACTGCGTATGCACACACACGCACGTGCATACACACACACACACACACCTTAGAGGTCCTCATTTACGTGGGGAAGAAACTGTTGTGGTTGGGCATTGCTGAAATTCTGCTTTGGACTTGGTTCCATGGAGATGTCTGTTACTGGCTTTGGGGGGAGGGTTCTGAAGCTTGCTGTCTTGGGGCCTCTAACAAAGGTTCATACTTCAGTGCTCCCAGCCTGCTCCCAGGGGTCCTGGGGATGCAACCATGACCTATGTCCTGGCCAAGGCTGGGTGACCTTGTGACTTTGATGCGGCTACTGACGAAGTAGCCAGGACAAGCATGTGATGTCTTCCAGCATCATCACTCTGGAGTAGCATAAATCTCCATTTTATCAAAGCCTTTAAACATTTTACATTTCTGATTTGTTCAGCTGTCCTGATCTTTTTCTTTACTGGCAGTTTCCTCTTGAAATGTACACATGCTGCTTTTGATGGACTAAGTATCTTCTCTGCCATGGGTTTTCAGGTTAATTCTCTAGATGGGTAGCTCTTTCAGGGAGGGGAGGGGTATCCTGCTTAGGCCCAAGGGGTATTGGCTCAGAAACCCAGAGCAAAGCTCAGGGACGGCTTGTGACCCCAAGCAATGATCGATGCTCTCTTTACAATACACGTATGCAGCACGTTCTCTGCTGCCTGAAATACCGCCACCCTCTTCTCAGAGTAATACTTGGACCAACCTGGCAAAGTTCTACTCTTTCTTCAAATCCCAGCTTCAGCATTGCCTCCTAGGTAAGATTTTCTGGATTCTCCCAGACAAACTTTTGTGCTTCTTTTCCTGTGACCCCAGTACACCTTGGATTGATACCTCCATGGTAGTCCTAGTCATGGCACCTTGTCATTGTTCGCATCCAGGCCTTTCTTCTGGACTATGAGCCCTTTGAGGATAGGGACACATCTCATTCCTATTTGTGTCCTATTTCTTAACACAGTGCCCTGACACATTGATGAAACACACTGATAGAGGGGAGGAAAGGAAAGGAATTAGTGTTTCTTGAATGGCTACTGTATGCCAGGCACAGAACTAGGCACATAAACATGTCGTATTTCATTTCTCACTCCAATCCTGCAGGGAAGGTGTTTTGGCCTTCTGTTTACCATTGCTGAAGCAAGGCTTGGAGTACAGGATTTGAACCCAGCTTTAACTCATTCCAAAGCCCAAGCTTTTCCCTCTCTGTCATGCCTCTTTCAAAGGTATTATGTTAAATAATAATAATAATAATAATAATAATAATGATGATGATGATGATGATGATGATGTAATGCAAGTGTACTTCAAAAAGTTAATGGAAAGATTCATATTATCTTTTAATTCTGTTTTTCCATGAACTTTCTGAAGTACTCTCATATTTGTAAGACTTCCTAAGCACCAGGGCCTGTTCTAAGTGTTTTACCCTCAAAACAAGTGTCATAAACATGTTAAGTGTTTAATCCTCAAAATAGTCCTATGAGGTAAATACTATTATTTTCTCTACTTCAAAGAGGAGGAACCCTTACCACAGAGAGGTTAAGTTACTCTCTCTGAGCCACACAGCTACTAAGCAGGAAAGCAGGCTCTGAACCCAGGCAGTCTGGCTCCATTCCTGTGCTCTCAAACCCTACGCCACACCGTCTCAGCTCTCAAAGCTATGCTGACACAACAGCTCATGGGAATTAGCTTTCCCATCCTGGCAGACTCCCTTGGCCAGAAAAACAAATTCACGAGGCAATGCATGAGCTGACCTACATAACCTCTCCACCAAGAAATTAGAATTTAGCATTGTGATTTTCCAATAATATGCTTTTTTAAAAATTTCGCTCTTTTTATTTATCTCTGAAACATCTGTTGCTCCACACCTGGCATTCTGAGTGATGTTTGTGTGCAGTGGTGGAAAGGTCTTCTGCTCAGCCAGCCCACATTCTGGGGTATAACCACCACCACAAATTATAAGCTCTTTTCTCCCATGAAATGAGTTTACTGGGAGGGGAAGGTCAATTTCAATCAATGCAGTCCGCTTTCTGTTTTTATAATACAGTTTTAGGAGCTGACACTTGTGTTGGCTTAATTAGGCTTCACTGGAGCCCCTGTTTACCCCAATCCCTACTACTCGGGGGCTCAGAATTGGAATGTATCTGAGATACCACCTAATTCTGCTTCCTGTCTGCTGTAGAAATCCCTTTCATACATCCCCTCAGGGACAGTGCACTGGTAACCAATTCTATTCTGGAACGTCTTGCCTTATTTAAAGCTTCCTCCTTTCATCAAATTGAAATCTGTGTCCTTACGAATTTCTTCCTGTTTTCTTAATTTATCCCTAGAAAGATATACAAAATAAGTTTGATCTTTATTTCACATGGGAATGCTTCAAATACTTTATAGAATCAGAGTGCCTCAATACTGAAAGGGGCTCCAGCAGTCAACCTACTAGCAAAGTCTTCAAGACCATCTTTTCCTCTCCAGGCTAAATGTCACCAGTTCCTTCAG